AACCAGGGGATCTCACTTTGCTTCCTCTGTTATCCAGCACTGAGCCTTATTCCTCTCTCTGAGGCCGGAGGAAATAAAAACCAGGTCTGCTTTTTCCAAACGTGGCCTTGAATGCAACATTTAAGAGCTTGTTGTGAACTGTGAGTTGAGAAGGAAGGAGTCAAAAACCTGGTGATTGTTTCTGACGTGCGACATAAGGTGTTTTTCTCTGCTTTATCTCTGTCCTCTGTTATCCAGCACTGAGCCTTATTCCTCTCTCTGAGGCCGGAGGAAATAAAAACCAGGTCTGCTTTTTCCAAACGTGGCCTTGAATGCAACATTTAAGAGCTTGTTGTGAACTGTGAGTTGAGAAGGAAGGAGTCAAAAACCTGGTGATTGTTTCTGACGTGCGACATAAGGTGTTTTTCTCTGCTTTATCTCTGCTGCAGGACAGCTGCTTAGCACAAGCTGATTTGCCTTCGAATAGTTGTGGCTGGCACAGAGTGGACATATGCATCCAGTTCCAAAACCTGCCCGAGAAAACAGATTATATCCACTGTTTGCCTTTGATTAAGGAGGTAGGAAAAACAGATAACAACCCTAAAATTGTTAATAAAGAGACTCTGTGTGATACACCACTGTCATTAGGGGCATATTGAAGACTTTAGGCTCAAGAGCAGAGAATTGTGGTGTTTGTGTAGAGGTTTTAAATATTTAGGCCACATGGGAAATTTTCTAACCCCTTATACATGAGTTTTGTGTAGATAAAATTACTTAATTAGTAGTATTTTCCTAGTTATGGTTTGAGCTTTCAGTTATGTGTTTTTGCACAAGCAGTGCAAGTGTTTTGTAGCCTGTAAACCACTTAAGATGAAACTAATTTGTGTATAGCAGCAAGAAATTATAGTTTATGGATACATTTTTACCTTGTTTTGATTGTGCAGGCTGAGTGGGTTATTGAGAACAAAAAAAAATTGCATTTTTTATGACTTCAAATGCTGAAATAAGTTTATGTGTGAGATTTATGGGGAGTGAGAATCCTAACCTGACTGCAGGGTATCTAAATTTAACTTAGTATATGACAAGAACTAGTTCCTCCCATTGTTTTCTGTGGGTGGGGGAAAAAATCCTAGTCAAACTCTCCCTTTTTCCTTAGAGTATGTGTAAACTTACAATAACCTGATGCATATTTTGTAGAGAAAACAGTAATAGTCTTTTTCTGGATAATACAAATTTGCTTATTTCCATACCTTATAATGAATTACTATATTTTTACTGGGTTAGCTGAGCTGGAAGTGATGAAAACTAAGAGAAAGGATGAATTCTGAGGACTTGGAAGGTCCTTTGGCAATTGGATAGTGTGAGATGGTTTCAGCCACAAGAGCAGCTTTGGGTGATGACAGATGTGAATTGTAGGAGTCACAAAGGGGACTTAAAACCCAAAACATGTGAAATTCTTGAGGCAGCAGCTGGGGAGTGGTAGAAGTTGAGATGAGACAGAGGAAGATTTGTACATATGAGACTCAGGACAAAGACTGGATTTTATTTTATTAGAAAAAAGCAAAAAAGGGCCGTGAGCTGGAAAAATTCCTGAACTGGCAAAGCAGCATGTGTAGAACAGCAAACAAGAGTGTTTAGCAGTGGGTTCTCTTTTTATTTAGTTGACTGAGAGTCAGATTGGATGTTAGGAAAAATGTTTTCCCTATTAGGGTGTTCAGGCACTGGCATATTGCCCAGGGAACTGGTGGAGTCACCATCCCTGGAAGTGTTTAAGAGGCATCTGAATCTAACACTGGAGGATCTGGTTTAGGAGTTCCAGCAGTGACAGGTTAATGGTTCGACTGGATGATCTTAGAGGTCTCCTCTAACCTTGATGGTTCTATCATTCTGTGACTGTAGATAGAAGGTAGGAAATGCAGAAGGGATGTCAGGACACCTAAAATATAGGAGATGAAATCGGTGGTGTGTGAAAATACTGTGAAAGGGTCGTGATGCACTGAGGTTATCTGTTAACTCAGTAAACATCTCTGAAAGGAACTCTTCATTCACAAAGAGTTTGGGCACATTAATCAGCTAATCCTTGTGATACTCTAAGGAATAGGTCTCATGACAGGTACCAAACACTGAGGGACAGTGGAGTTAATTCCTCAGCTCCAGCAAGCAGTAAAATGTATCACAATTAAGGACATCTAGGAACTGGTGCCAGCTGCATTACTGGCAGATATTGTCACAGGTAACACACGGGCCCAGTAATCAACCTGTACTGCTGTGGTCTGGTCTAACATGGGCTTGCATGGGTAATGTCAGGCAAGCAATCCCTTTGGATTCAGTGCTGCAAAGTGAGCAAGTCCTCTAGCAGAGTAACTGAAACAGTTTGAAAATGGAGACACTAAACCAGAGCAGCTATTTTGTTTGCTAATTTAGTTGATCTACACCATAAGCAATGTGTGAAGCTGCCAAACAAAGACCATTTTCCATCCTTAGCAAATTCAAAACTAGGCACAAGAGGACACATCATAAACTGCAAAAGGAATCTGGAATAATTGGATCATTGAGAAAGTGTTTCTAACTTCAGCTGGCAGATTTTTGTTTCATTTCCCTAAGGAAGTTACAACTCTGCTGGCACTTAAGGAATTCTTCAATGTTCTGGTCTTAAACAACTGTAGAAAACATTCATCTTTACAGAAACTCCAGATTCTTGCCTTGGAAAACTGCAAGTATTTCTGGCAGATTCTGAACCATTCTCCTCATTGGACTTACGGCAAAATAAAACTCAGGAAGGGAAAGTTTCTTTGCTTTTTCTGTGTTTCAAAGTCATCCATGAGGAGAAAACAGCTACTGCTGCAAAATGTTCTTGTTGAGGTTCTCACAATGAGAAAACTTGCTGCCTTTAATTAAATTAGTTGGCTATTTTTATGTACACGATGGTCACAGCAGCTTTTTCTGGAGATACCAGTACAGTATTACTATGATGAGCTCTGACTGCACTTTTTCCTCGAAGAAAGCAAACAGACTCTTGGTTTCTGTTATTCTTAGGTGTTGTCCCCTAAGTATATTTACAGTGTCATTCACCAGCATGAAATTGTTTGCTTATCCATAAAAGGAAACATGGGCATATGGTACTTCTTTTCCTGTTTGCTCCTTATCTTCTAAATTCAGTTGCTACGTGGAGATTTTCCTGTGTCTGCCAAACTGGGATTTCTTTAATTTATGCTTTGCCCCTTACTTCCCACTTTTCTTCTTCTTCTTTGGTTATTACTTGATTATATAGCAGACGTAGCTCTAGCTGAATTGTTTCTCAACAATGTTTTTCCTTGGGGTGTAAGGCATTAAGGAGTGGAGCACAAGGACTGATTTGCTGCTTTGATCTGTCTGACACAGTGAATATCCCATGGTCTTGGCACTGGGGGGATTGAGGGTAGAGTTTGCAGATGGATGAATCATAAAATCATCAAGATTGGAGAGGATCTCTAAGATCATCCAGTCCATCCATTAACTTGTCACTGCTGGAACCCCTAAACCAGATCCTCCAGTGCCAGATCCAGACACCTCTTAAACACTCCCAGGAATGGTGACTCCACCAGTTCCCAGTGCCTGAACACTCTAACAGGGAAAATATTTCTCCTAACATCTAAGCTGTATCTCTAGTAATATGAAGAATGTGAAGAAATAAACCAGGTGGATTGTTCAGTGTCAGAGCCCTTACAGTCCTTTCACTAGCACATGAGGAGAAATGCTGCATTTGAACTCAAGTTGACAAACTTACAGCTGCAAGACAGAGTGGTTATCCTATATTTACTGGTTCCCATGCATCCTTAGATATTAGCTGGATTTAAGAAATTTGCTTATTGCTAAGAATTATCCTAAGACTAGCTGACATTCAGTACAGGTGTTTAACGTGCTTTTTCTTGATACAAAGCAAAACCTCAGATTTTTTTTAATCCCTACCTGTGACACAGTGGCTTTCTGTTAAACTTTTACTCTTTCCAAGCAGGTTAATGACATGTCTTTTGCTTTTGTCTTTCAGATTTCCTTATGTGGTCAAGTAGATGTGTTTCTTTCAGCCTTAAAAGTGCTGGTGCAAATCCTTGCTATGGCATCTGTGGCTTCATCAGTTATATTTAAGGAATTTTGTCCCTTGTATTATCTCCTCAATGCCATTCCTGCAAAGATCCAAAAAGGCTTTCGCTCTATTGTGGTGTACCTCACAGCACTTGATACCAATGGAGACTACATTGCTGTGGGGAGCAGCATTGGAATGCTTTACCTCTATTGCAGACACTTAAACCAGATGAAAAAGTATAATTTTGAGGTAAATACTAATTTTTGTCACTTCTGCTGAAGCTGATCTGCTCAGAATTGAGCTCCTGTCCGTGTCTCGTTAACTTTGCAATTTTCATCTATGGTTTGTTTCAACAGGGGAAGTGTGAATCTATTACTTTTGTAAAGCTGCTGAGTTGTTTTGATGATCTGGTTGCTGTTGGCACAGTCTCAGGTCGGGTGGCAGTTTTTCAGCTTGTGTCTTCATTGCCTGGAAGAAACAAACAGGTAAATCTTTGCATTTGGCTGAGTATGGCCAATCCTAGGAGACTGTTACCATGATTCCTTTGTAATAGTGAAACCCAGCAAGTTTTGCCTCACTCAGTGCTCAGTGCTGTGCTCAGCTTTGGGCACTCACTGCCCAAAGGCCATTGAGGCACTGGAGCTAGTCCAGCCAAGGGCAACAAGGTCAGCAAAGGGCTGGAGCACATGGGCAAGGGCTGAGGGAGTTGGGCTTGGTCAGCCTGGAGAAGAGGCTCAGGGGTGACCTCCTGGCTCTCTGCAACTCCTGCCAGGGCTGGAGAGAGGTGTGGGATGTGTGTCCTGCCATGGCTGCAGGGAGAGGATAGAGGGAATGGCCTTGAGCTGAGCCAGGGCAGAGTCAGATTGGATGTGAGGAGAAATGTTTTCCCTGTGAGGGTGTTGAGGCCCTGGGATATTTCTCAGGGAGGTGGTGGAGTCACCATCCCTGGAGGTGTTGAAGAGGCATCTGGATCTGGCACTGGAGGATCTGGTTTAGGGTTTAGGGGTTCCAGCAGTGACAGGTTAATGGTTGGACTTGATGATCTTAGAGGTCTCCTCCAAACTGGATGATTCACTTATCTCTGAAGATGGTTTAGGCTTCATACATTAAGCTTGCAAACCCTGTAATTTTAGAGCTTTTCATAACAAAAGATGTATTTAATCAAATCTATTTTTGAGAAATGTCTCATTTGTACTAACTGCCTGAGCTGTTGGGGTGGTGGCAGTTTTAGATTGTTTGTTTAGGTATTTTTGTGCTAAATAAACATTAGAATGACCTGCACTTTTGTACTAGATCTCCAGTTACACTTGATCTCTGGAGTCACTGAATAGGCTTTGTGCCTCCACTTTCTCCTCACCTCATTCTTGTGTTGCTTTGGTGTTGTTTCACAGCTCCGGAGGTTTGACGTCGCAGGCATCCACAAAAGCAGCATTACAGCTTTAGCTTGGAGCCCCAATGGGATGAAATTATTCTCTGGAGATGACAAAGGGAAGATTGTCTACTCGGCCCTAGACCTGGACCGGGTGAGCATTTGTTATAGAGACCTTAATTCACATTTGCACTTTGTTGGAAGGATGCTTGTGTTTAAATATTTAGCAGTCAGTTAATTGCTTAGTGTCATGTGTTTAATTGTCAGCTTTATTGGTATGTGGACACTTGGTCAACTGTGCCCACATCAGCAGGATAACTGTTGGGGTCCTTTGCAACTGCCTGACCTTTTTAAAATGTAATATTTATTAAAATAAGTGGTGATCCTTCTCATTTTGCACATTTCTGTCTGAAATAACTGTCCTATCTTCCTTCAGCTTGCAGTCACTACTTTCCCTTTAGTTAGCAAAAGGTACTTTTGATTGATGTGACTATTGATGAAGTCCTTTTCCCAGAATTGTTCAGCATCTCAGCCTAGAGCACAGAATGGAAGTGATGTATGGGTGCTGCTGGCTGACCAGCAGGTTACCTGTACATGGAATTTTTCTAATGTCTTGTTAATTAGTACAGACCTGAGTCTTCAACTTAAATGTTAACCTGAATTTCTATATGGCAGAAAAATTTGAACAGCATCCATCCTGATGTACCTGTGACTGTCCCTCATTGGGTTTGACAGAATGGTTTAGCATGGCCAAATTGTCTGAGCCTACTGTGACCTGGCAGTGAAGGAAGAAAATGTGTCCTGGAGTTCCTGTTGATTTCAAGTGAAATGTATTGGCTAGTATTCCAAAAGAAATTAAATTTCATAGTGTGCCACAATCTACACAGGTCACACAATCTAACTCCCCTCTTGCCTGCACAAACAAACTCCACATTCATTAAGTGAACTCTGTGCAACAGGAATTCAAAAACTTTTATTTGATTATGTGTTTTCTCTTGGGCTTGTAAATCTCTTTGCAGTGTTAGTTCCTGCCTTGTGTTTTCAGGGAGATTGACTCTTGTTAATTTTATGTATCTTTGAAGGGTACTTGCAACTCCAGCCTGGTGTTGGAAGAACCATCTTCAATTGTCCAGCTGGATTACAACCAGAAAGTGCTGCTTGTCTCCACCTTACAACGGACTCTGCTTTTTTACACAGAAGAGAAATCTGTCAACCAAGTTGGAACACAGCCCAGAAAAAAGTAACCCTCATAAAATCTTCATGCAGGCACATCTATTAATTCTAGCATTACAGAGTGGATTACAGAGAGAGTGATCTAAGCAGTGAAATTAATACAACACAGCAGTCAGCTCATAAAAAGTTAGTCACAGTAGCTGTGTGTGATCAAACATGAAGTGACAATCCTACCTATTAACAAAGTGCATGGTGGCAAAACTGTCACAGTTGTATTTTCAAGGCACTATTATGCAGAAATATTTAAGATGTTTTCTCATTGTTTAAACTGAAATCACTGCCAAATTTCCTCTGCAGTCCCTCTTGGGTTGCTGGGATTTGGTGTGAACAAGCATTGTAGTCAGATCTGTGTCATGGGTGATGTAATATTTTGATGTTAAAATCAAGTCAGCACCCCAGTTTTTCTTACACACTGAAGGGAATGAAAAGAGAAAATGTGTAACAAGCTCTTAAATTTCATCTACGGGCCAGGAACTTCTTGTGAGGCTTTGGCATCTTCTATTGTCACCTTTCTCACATGTGAAAGAAGAGGGAATCCAGTCATAGAACAGTATTACTGACTGTCTGGAAGTAGAGAAAATTGATGTGTGAAAGAGGGACTAGGATGCATCTTTCAGGGATGTGAAGTGTAAGAGGAATACTAAGGGCCATGTTATGTGTGAAGGGTTTTCTTGGGTGATAGTAATGGTGTTTTTGTGTATGAGAGATGAAGGTTTTAACAGCTGAGGTTTGTTCAGTGCTACTTTCAAGTAGAGGTGGTGGTTCCTTAGCATTAGTTTGTAGTGCTTGGTTTTGATCAGTTCTTGGAGAAGGATGACTTCTTAGTAGAATCCTTCTGAGGTGCACAGAGTGCTGTTAAGGCTATGAAGCTTATTAGGAGGAATCATTTAACTTGTCTAGTTAAGCAAGTGCAGAGGAGGCCACGAAGTCGCTCAGGAGACTGGAGCATCTCCCTGTGAGGACAGGCTGAGGGAGCTGGGACTGTTGAGCCTGGAGAAGAGAAGGTTGTGTGGAGACCTCAGAGCACCTTCCAGGAGCTGAAGGGGCTCCAGGGAAGTTGCAGAGGGATCTGTGTTAGGAGCTGCAGGGACAGGACAAGGGGCAATGGGGACAAATTAAATACTAGAAGAAAGTGTTTGACTATAAGGGTGGTGAGACACTGGAACAGGTTGCCCAGGGATGTGGTGGCTGCCCCGACCCTGACTGCATTCAAAGCCAGGCTGGATGAGGCCTTGTGCAGCCTGTTCTAGTGGGGAAGTGTCACTACCCATGGCAGGGAGGGTTGGGACTAAATATCTCTAACCTCCATTCCAACCCATAAATTCTAGGATTCTATGATTCTAATTGATGTAGTATCTGACATCCTAAGCTGAGGGAAAACTGTTGTTATATAAGAGCACTGGCCTTACTGCAACTAAACTTGTACTTTAGACTTTTGAATATTTTAATCAAAGACTTTTGCTTTTTATTATTTTCAGTTGTGAATTTGTGCCATTAGGTTTAAAAAATTGTTTCTAAGTGGAGTATTTAGCCTTTAAAATGAATTCTTTTGCATTTTAGTTCTGGGAAGTTTGGAGCATGTTTCATCCCTGGGCTGTGTAAACAGAGTGACCTGACACTGTTTGCTGCCAGGCCTGGGCTGCGTCTCTGGAAATCTGATGTTCACGGGACTGTTCAGGCCACATTCATACTGAAAGATGTGTTTGCTGGAGGAATAAAAACCTTTGAACTGTATCCTCGTTTGGAACCACCTGACAGAGGAAGTTACAGCTCTCCAGAGAAACACCTTGGGCTTGTGTCGTGCTTTTTCCGAGAAGGATGGGTGCTGACCTGGAACGAGTACAGCATCTACTTGCTAGACACTGTGAACCAGGTAGGTAAATCTTGTAGGTGTACATTTTGTTGCTTGTTTTTGTTCATGCTATGCCATGAGACTCTGTTTAGGTTATCCATTATACTTCTAGGATTTCAATCCATGTTTAAAATGAACAAAGACTTTTTTAGAAGACTCTTGGTTAGGAGCTGCAGGGACAGGACAAGGGGCAATGGGTACAAATTGAAGGAGGAACCTCTACAATTCTATGATTATCCTATTCCCCTTCAACTTGTCCTTGCAATGATAAATTCACAAATCAGCTTGGTATGTTAGATATAAAAATTAAATATATTTAAAACTTTCACTTGAGATGATAACATCCTAATCAATTCTGATGCTTAGCAAAGCCTACAGAAATCTAAAATCTACTAACTAGTGCAAAAGATGTTTTAGGCCTGTAAAATGTGCCTGAAACTGTTACTTCTTTCCTTTCTACTACTGTTGGTGTCTGCAGAAAAACAAGTTTTACCTTTCGTTTGGTATACAGTGAGATGTTAACTATTTTGTTATCTAAAAATTACATATGAAAGGGAATACAAGTATTTTTTTTGTCTAAATGATGTTAAACATTTGTACTGTGCTGCTCTTCTGCCACCAAATTGTGTATTGCTTAAACTGTTGTATTTAGTCGCTGCTAGTTGGGCAGAGAAAGTGAACAGGTCTGTGGAAATGAAATTAGTATAAAAATTGAGCTGCATCATGATTAAAAGTTTCTTTCCTGTTTCTTTTTTTCTATTTCCTTTCTTTTTGATACGATAGAAATCTTTTTCCTGTAATTATATCTGTTGATCAAATGAACACGTTTGTTAGGAGCACCACGTGGTGCCAACAGTGTGTTAATCTGATGCTAATTACTCCTTTCTGTGTTGACTCTTTACAGGCTTTGATTGGTGGCTTGGAAGGATATGGTGATATTGTGTCTGTATCCTGTACCAACAATGAGATTTTCCTCCTAAAGGGAGATAGAGACATCATAAGAATTTCAAGCAGACCTGAAGGATTGTCATCCATGGGTTTGTATAGATTACCAAGTTTTAGTATGTACCTCATGGAAAAGGTGCCTATTGTGCTTTTTTAATACCAAAAAACTCAAACCAAACCCAAACCAAAACAAACCTCACACAAACCCCTTCAGATTACTGCAAAACCCTTCCACAGTCTGCAGAGTTGCTTATCTGTTTTAACAGATTATATTTAGGGATCTGGTTTATCTGCTCATCTGAGCTGCTGTTTTGGCTGCAGTGAGAGTGGGTGCATTAAGAAATGAAATATGGGTCCCTTTTTTTGAGAGTGGATCAGCATTATCCTAACGAGGCATCTCTAATCTGTGCATTTCAGACCTTATTCTGGGCCATGAAGCTGAAGCAATTTGGATTCCTGATCGTGGTTCTCTCTTTACTGATCAGTCTCAATAGCTGAATATATTGATTCTGTGCCACCTGTTACCACCCACATTCCAGAGGAAATCTCAGGCTTCCTAGCACTGAAAAGGAAAGAACTGGCGAATAAACCCAAAGAATGCTGGCTAGAATTCCAAAAAGAATTTGAGAGTTGGCTTGAGAGTTTATTATTTGAGAAATCATTTTTATGTTGCCATCTAAGTTCAGCATTTATGTTACTAGAACTCTCTAGTAACTACTGGAGAGACAGCTAAGGGAATACTAAATAATTTTAGATCCTCTGGTTTAGCTTTGTATGAGCAAAATGCAAGTAAATGTGCTATGAAGTCTCATTGAATGCTGGAGAGCTTAATTTTCTGATCATTACATTTTAGGGATTGTGTTAGTCATTTCTTTACTTACCAAATTCTAGAGGCTGATTATTATTATTTTCCCTGTTAAGGTGTTGAGGCACTGGGATATTGCCCAGGGAGGTGGTGGAGTCACCATCCCTGGAAGTGTTTCAGAGGTGTCTGGATGTGGCACTGGAGGATCTGGTTTAGGGTTTAGGGGTTCCAGCAGTGACAGGTTAATGGTTGGACTGGATGATCTTAGAGGTCTCCTCCAACCTCAATGATTCTATGATTCCAAGCATAGTTTGAAAGGAACCTTATTGAAGTATAATTTCTTCTAAGCACTACAGTGGTTTATCTGGTAATTTTCCTTGATTTTTCTCAAGCTACTGAACGTTTGAATGAAGCAGTTGAGGATAGAGGGTGGTGCTTCAGTGTGTCATACAGTTGGGCCTTCCAAGCTGCAGACCTGTACTGTTCTTTATACATTAACATAAGATGGTAAAACTTCATGAGATAGAACTTCAGAGTTTGGCTAAGAGAAGCTTGATACAGGCTTTGGGGGAGTGATGGGCTGAAATGATTTCGTACAGATTCAGTTATAGGAAGTTTACATTGTGTGTGTGTGTATATTTGAAATGTTGCAAACTTAGAATATTTTAATATTTTCCCATTGCATAAAGGTTGTTTTCTTTCAATACTCTCTAAGAGCTATGTCCCCACTCACTTGATGCACTAGTATTTATACCTCTTTATTTTTCTTTTGGATGGTTTCAGATGTGAATTCAAAGTTGTTGAATCCTTTAACAGATACAAGTCCTAAATTGCTGACCCCATCATCAGTAGTTTCATCTGTATCCTCCAGCCCTTCAGTGGAAACAGATAAAAAAATGGTTACTTCCCCTTCACTTACTGGTGATAAAAATGGCTCTTCAATGAAGGATGATCTGGGAACTCCAACTCTATCAGAGAAAAGTTTTGATAGAGTGGGAGACTTGAGCCACGAAACCAGAAGAAGAGGCTGCTCTGTGGTGAGTGAGTCACGGAGCAGGAGCAGTTCTGTGAACTCTGTGGACAGTGGCTCAAGCTTTATGTGTGCAGACCAACTATCAGAAGCTCAGAGAGAAGCCCAGCTGTCTTCTCAGCGGTTCGAACTCCAACTCTATCAGAGAAAAGTTTTGATAGAGTGGGAGACTTGAGCCACGAAACCAGAAGAAGAGGCTGCTCTGTGGTGAGTGAGTCACGGAGCAGGAGCAGTTCTGTGAACTCTGTGGACAGTGGCTCAAGCTTTATGTGTGCAGACCAACTATCAGAAGCTCAGAGAGAAGCCCAGCTGTCTTCTCAGCGGTTCGGTTCACATTGTTAAGCCCATTAAAGTCAAGAAGAAGAAGAAGAAGAAACAGGGTAGGTCTAGCAGAACTTTCCCTGCTAGGGCTTGTTGTTAGAGCATGTCACTTCTGGTGCCTCACATGAGAGAGAGTGTGTGTTTTGCATGCTCTGTTTATGTTGTATTGCCATGTTCCTGGGGTAACTGGGGAGTTTGGGGCACCATTTGGGCTTAAAGTGATAGCCTGTTTTGAAAGTGATAACTCGATTAAATCTTTTTAGATCTATTTGTTTTCATTTTAATTTTGCTTTGCTTTATGTAAACATGCTGAAAGTGACAGTGGCCTCTGCTTCCAGTTCTGTGTTCCAGTTGTGAGGTATCTGTTCATCCTAGTCAGAGTATTTGGCAGTGTCTTTCTCAGCCATTGTTTTTAGTTTGCTAAAACAGTAAGAGTACTTGATTATTTTAATTGTTTACTATGTTGGTGTTGCAAGTTGGAAGTGTTTTGCCATTCAGATGTTTTTTGCTTGATGTGTATCATTTAGAGTTCAAGTTTGGGAAAAAAATCAGCATGTTGAAATTTAGATTTAGCTCTGTTCTTCCTCCAGTTATAAAAATATTGTGATTTCTTCCTTTGCACTGGAATTTCATAGATTAGTGGTTTGTGTTAGTATCTGGATGCAATCCTGAGCCATGCACTCTAAGGATGGCCCTGCTCGGGTGGGAGGAGGTGACCCACTCTGGTCCCTTCCAGTCTGATTGGTTCTTGTGTAACATTGTTTTTCCTCCTTTTTTCCTTTGAGAACAGAAAGTGGGACAAGGAGAAGCCACAGCTCTCTGGAAGGTACACCCATTTATGAGCGTCAGCTCTCTGGTGACAGTCCACACTCGCTGAACGCAGACTCCTTCTCCATGACTTCCAGCCTGATGAGTGGCAGCATTGACCATTTGAGTACTGGGTCTCCAGACCAGGAGAGCATGTTCAGTATGGAGTCCCATACAGTCCTGCAAGAAGATAATGGCTCAGAAACTTTCAGTGTCCTACAGTCTCCTGAGTCAGGGACTGTGCTGATTAGTGAGGAAAATGGAGATGTTGTTGATTTACAGAAACTTCCAAACAGTGACAGTGGCACAGGTGCTTCAACTATTGTAGATATTTTGACATCTGCATCTCCTCTGATGCTCACAGAAGATGTGACAGGCAGTGTTGGTGGTGAATGTAATGGTGGTGTGGTTTCTGCAAGCAATGAGTGCTGCCCTGGGGAGCTGAGCCAAGGGGAGGAACAGGATTTCCCTACGTTGTGTAAAATAGATGAGGACTTAGATCAAATGAAGCTGCAGGAGGCTGAAAAATCTTTTGAAGAGCCAGACCTTACAGACCAGATGTTTTTTGAATATGACAGTATCCTTGGTGTCCAGACATCACTGGCACCAAAGGAAAGTGATGAGACTGGTAGGGAAGACCAGCAGCAGCTCTCCCTAATCCACAGTGCTCTGTCAGACCCTTCTGCACTCCAGGCTGACATCTCTAACGAGGTTTATTCAGACAGCACTTCCATTTCTGGGTGGAATTTTGAAAGTGCAATCAGAGCTAAATCCACTACTAGCACTGCTGAATGGGTAGCAGACACTCAGGAAAGTAAGACTGAGAAATCTGCCTCAAGTGATGAAGAGGATATTTATGGACATGGGTTACCATATTCATCTTCAGAGACCAGCATGCCTGAAGCTGGAGCTGTGCCTGGTTCACAGGACGTGGCCAAGATCAGCCTAGATGAAATGGTGTTGTTAAAATCTGACCAGGTATATGTTTTCCGTTTAGTGACAGTCCCTAACTGCAGCTTTTCAAAAGAAACACTCATGTAATTATTGTCCTTTTCCTCTTTAGGAGAGCAATTCTTTTCTTACTTGACTCAAAGTAAACAAGTAAAGCATAAAGCCAAACAGCAGCAGTGTTGCAGCTCTTTCAGGATGTGAAGTGTCTCACTTCAGGATGGCTGATGTGTACTAACAATGCAGAGAAGCTGCTCTGGCTGTATTATTCCCTGCTCAACAAAAAGGCTGTTAGAAACACATCCATTAAACAGTGAACAGGAAAACCAAGCCGTGCTCAAAGGCTGCTCCTTGTTAGGGTCACCAGTAGCCCAAATTCTGCATGATGCTGCTCCCAAATTCAACTGCTTTCACGGGAAATTGATGCTAATTATATCACATAACCTGGCTCCTCGTTAGGGATCATTTTACCTGTGAATACTTGGAGTAAGGATTAGTCTTTGTGCCCTAGGCAGCGGTTAGTACTCCTTAAAATGGTTTCCTTTCTCTGTTATCTCTTTCCTTCATCTTTATTTTGTGGGTGAGTGTTTCCAGAAACAGTAATTGTCATACACACTATTGAAGAAAGAAGTACTGAAAGTAATTGAAAAGTCTGCAGGATTGCCAAAATCACTGGGAGTTTTAGCAGAACTCTTAAGAAGGAAATGCAGTTGTTGTACTTTTGGGGGTTTGTTTTTTTTAGGTCTGTAACAGTCTCGTATTGAGATCCACCAAATAGTTGTGGATAAAAGCTGAGCCACGAGTTGATGGTGTCCTGTCTAACAGCTAAAAGTGTAGAAGACCCTTAGTTTCAGGTTATGGTGTTCTTACACTCTGGCATGTTCAGAAAAGCTCCACTGATGCTTACACTGCAGGTCATGTACACAGTGCTTGAGTTCACCTCATGCAAGTGATCAGAATTGAAGACAGCAGTCTGCAAACCAGATTTGTGCAAGGCAAGGCTTATACCAGAGCTGGGTATTTAGCTGTCTCTGCACTCCAGCTGTCTTGTTCCCTTTGCTCATCACTTCCTAGCAATGAATAATTTCCTGTACTGCAGACTGTACATTTTTATGTATCCTTTTTTTTTGCACCTGCCATTTACTTTGTGTGCTTTAACTAATAAGAGAAGATTTTCCACTTTTGAGGGTGGATGTCAGTGTGGAGGGGTTTGGGCTTTTTTTGAGCAGTACATACAAAGCACTGACAGATGTAGTTTTATTTTACACAAGGCAAATGTGTTCATTGATTAAGGTACTTAAGGGTCTTAAGCTTTTTCGAACCAAGTCACAGGAGCTGCTGTGCTTCTCTGCCTGTTACCTTGTGCAGTTTGAAGGCACCTGACGCTGTTCTGACTGGACAGTTTTTAGTTTGCAGAGAGCTGGATGGGATACTCTGGCCCTGGGTATGGCATCCTGAGCCTGGTTGTGTCAGAGAAGTACATTTGGTGCCTGGACTACCGGGGCAGCCTGTACTGCAGTGCCCTTCCCGCAGCCGGGCTGCGCTGGCAGAAGTTTGAGGATGGAGTCCAGCAAGTTGCAGTTTCCCCCTCAGGTGGGTTGGCTTCTGCTCCACTCTCACCTCCAAAATGAAAGTAACTTGCATGTGAACATTTTAAAATCACCTTATTCTAATGGTATGTGCACTTCGTAGAATCAGAGAATGTTGAAGGGTTGGAATGGACCTTAAAGATCATCTAGTCCCAACCCTCTGCCCTGGGCAGGGACACCTCCCACCAGGTTTCTCAAGGCTTTATCCAACCTGGCTTTGTACACTGCCAGGGTTGGGGCATTGCCAGCAGGTCAGGGAGGTGATCCTGCCTCTCTACTCAGCCCTGGTGAAGCCCCACCTGCAGTATTGTGTAGCACCAGAGGGACATGGAGCTCCTGGAGCAGCTCCAGGGGAGGGCAAGGAAGATGCTGAAGGGACTGGAGCACCTCAGGGATGAGGAAAGGCTGAGGGAGTTGGGGCTGTTCAGCCTCAAGAAGAGATGACTGAGAGGGACCTCATTAATGGATTCAAGGCCATGAATGGGAAGTGCCAAGAGGATGATCAGACTCTGCTCAGTGGGGGAAACCAGTAAAACAAGAGGGAACAGCAAAAACTGATGCCCAGGAAGTTTCACCTGAATATAAGGAAGAACTTCTTTGCTGTGCAGTCACTGAGCACTGAACACATTGCCCAGAGGGGCTATGGATTCTCCATCACTGGAGATATCTGGGAACCATCTGGGCACAATCCTGAGCCATGTGCTCTGGGCTGGCCCTGAATGGGCAGGGAGGTTGAACCAGATGACCCACTGTGGTCCCTTCCAACCTAACTCATTCTGTCATCCACAACCTCCCTGGGCAACCTGTTCCAGTGTCTCACCACCCGGACTGTAACAAATTCCTTCTTCAGTTTCAACTGTTCCTGGAGAAGTTAACCACTGTCCTGGTCTTGCTTTTTTAAAAAGAAAAATTATAAGTGTTTTTAAATCTTGCATTTTTGTTTAATGCTACTGGTTTGCTCTTTCCCCTTCCATTAGTTTAGGTGTAGGTAGGACACAGCAGCTGTGTGTTAGTTGCTGAGTGCTATTATGTTGTCTCTAACTTCTCATGTAGGGGCTCTGCTCTGGAAGATTGAACAGAAGACTAACAAAGCATTTGCTTGTGGAAAAGTAACTATCAAAGGAAAACGCCACTGGTATGAGGCTTTACCCCAGGCTGTGTTTGTGGCTTTAAGTGATGACACTGCCTGGATTATCAGAACGAACGGAGATCTGTATCTGCAAACAGGTACCTGAATTCATTGCAGCCTCTTTGAATTTCTGGGGGCTGAGAGTTTAAAGAGTTCAAGTTATAGAATGATCACAGTTTGTTATAAACTTTTATCTGTAGTTGGGACATAGGGAAACCTCTTTGTCTTGAGAAGTAGTTGGAAACAGTTGTGAGATCCTGTGTAATTAGGAGAGTGAAAGAGACAGTTCATGGGCACCTGTTTTTGTGTGCCAAGTGGAGGGCACACAGCACAGAATTTATGATGTGGGGAGGATATGGAATGGATGCAGAGAAATGGAAAAGCATTGCAGAAAATTGCTTTGAAAATGGTATGATGCACTGAAACAACTGAGCCTTGAGTGGGTTTTCTTGCTTTAAGGGTTTGAACAGTTTTTAGAAGGACTTGGAAAGGCAATGAGATGATATGTGGCTGTTCAGAAGGAGTTTGGGTATGGGGGCAGAAGAGGGGGCAGTAGAACTGTGTGTTTTGAGAAGCAGAGATCTCTTGAAGGTGAGAGGTATCACTTGATTAAAGGAAAGTACTCTGAGACAGAAGATCTTGAAGTGCTTTGGAAATATAGACAATTGATATGTATTTATGTGACAGAAAGCAAAGCCATGGAGGGATGGAAGTGGCTGTGGAGCAGCAATCTACAGTTGCCTTTTTATTGGACCTGAATGAGGCAAGAATAGGCTAAAGGGATAGTGCAGTGGCAAATTTGAAGTCATGGCCTTAGTTTTAAGTGCTTCAGTGAAGAGAAGGAGATGTATTGGGAAGGTGTTATGCAAACAGTATTCAGGCTAAATCCAAGGAGCTAGGGTGAAAGATGGAGGTAAAAGTTTTAGGGTTAAGGGAGAAAATTATCAAAGAGCCTTGGCGTGTGGGCCTTGCACAGAGAGCTGAGTTGATAGGGAAGAATGAGGAAGAACATGGTGAAGGAATTACTGGAGAATGAAGAGAACTGGCTAAGGGGAAAACTGTAAGACATCCTAAAGCAGGACAACGTTTCAGAGTGGCTATCCACATTCTTATTTACCTTTCATTTTATGTTGACACTCTCCTGATGTCTCTTAGATGTAATTACGGCAGCACCATACAGATGTTCTTTATGATGAAGAAAGCTGTTTAAACACATGATTGTTTCAAAGATATTCCACTCAAATTATTGTCTCTTAATTAAGTGCAGTAGCTACAGAGAAATCGAGTGGCCTGCCCAGAGGCACATGCATATTGCCAGCAGGCAGGGATAGTGGTGATCAGGAGTGAGCTTTTGATGTCAATCACACAGGGCTCTGTGGAGCTTTGAATCAATATTTTCCTCCCCTGTGAGAGATCGGTTTGATTCCATCAGCTCACATTCTGCTGTTCTCAGGCTCCTAAATTTGTCTTTTGATACAAAAAATAAATTCTCAGTCTATCTGTCTTGTTAATGTGAAGCAACCAGTGAAAACTCTTTCTCCCAGAGTCTTTTCACTCCCTTCACTCTCTTGTCTAACATTTATAAGAGGAGTGTGTGCTCAGAGGTTTGGAAATGAGCATTCTTGTTAACTTAGGGTATCACACAGATGAGTCTGTTCATGCTGGCTTTGAGAAGATTAAACCAAAGCTGTGTCTCTTGAGGTGTTTCACATGCAGCTGTGTAAATCAAGCTTCAGTGTAGTTGTGAAGATGACACATTCTTCTAGGTTAGATGTAAAAATGTGTGCAAACCACCTAAAAATCTACCAGAACCTCTCTTTTCCTTTTAGCACTACACACTGTGGCATGTTCTTTTGTATTGCTCTGCTGTCACTGTTCAGATTGCTTCTCTCCCTGGCGTGTTTTGGGCAAAAGTTCTTCCTTTCCTGGCTTTTCCTCTGATGCCTCTGTCAAGTCTAATAGGGGTTTTATAGACGGAGATCCCTGAGCCTGACACTAGAGGGAGAAAAGGAACAGAAATGACAGGGCAGGACTCGTGCTCTCTGCAGGATGTTGAGTGATGTACAGCGTTTTACTTCTTAAAATATCAGCTCAGCTATGTTAGAGGAAATTATTCATAGCTTATAGAAAGAGCAGCCAATCAAGAAAATCATGATCAACTGAAAAATGCTAGCATGTCAAGCATATTCCCCCAGTCCTTTTCTTTTCTTGAGTTACTCTTTTCTTCTCGTTGCCAAGTTTGTAAAGCAATCCTCATCTTTTGCTTTCTAGGCCTGAGTGTGGACCGTCCCTGTGCCCGAGCAGTAAAGGTTGACTGCCCTTGTCCACTGTCACAGGTCACATCCAGGAACAACGTGGTGTGGGCCCTGAGCGAGCAGCGGGCGCTGCTGTACCGCGAGGGCGTGCGCAGCTTCTGTCCGGAGGGAGAGCAGTGGAAGAGTGACATCGTCAGGTACTGCGCGTCCTGGGGCGCTGTGGGCACAGCCAGAGTGACACAGGGAACTGGTTTCAGTGCTGGAACTCCTGCATGTTGGAAGAAGTGTCACCTGAACTCGTGTGTGTACATATCTCTGTGTGTCTTTCTCTCCCTCTCTCTTTCTCTCCCTCTCTCT